GCTTGGACGAATAAGCTCCTGTCGATAAGGACACGATTATAATTTTGTTTGGAAAAAATTTTAAGACATTAATCAACTTACTTGTAAAATGTCCAGGAATAAGCAAGATGAAAATGCGCCAATTTGCCAGTAAATGTCCGCCAAAATTACAGTCAAGGCGCGTCTATATAAAGTTGTGGAAAATATCCAATCAGCTGTTCTAGTAACACCACCTTGTATTCTATCATTCTTGCAGTCGTATGAATCGGCAAAGCAACTCTGAGAAAACCACTGCGTTAAGCTGCCTGAAGAGGCGCAATCGGCGCAATAGTGCCAACACACTGTTCTGATTCCGGCAGTGGCACTGGTGTTAGTGTATCAGCGCCAAAAAATTTGCGCCGTTACCCAGGCCTACTGGAAAATAGGCTACTTTTTTAAGAATTGCCACCTGTTTGAAAATGAAATTTTGCTCAAAGATGGGTTATGACCTGGACTGAAAAATAGGCTACTTCCTTAACCGGGTTTCCGATCAGAACGAAATTTAGTACACTTACTACGGATTCCGGAAGGATGGTCTTAGACTGAAAGTAAGTCCGATAACTCAAGGCCCCTCCCATACAAATTGGAATTTTCATATTACATACATATCTCTGGAAGTATTTGTGGGAGAGAACTGAAACTTGGTATAGTGATATGTATATGAAATCAATGTTGGCATTAATCGATTGGTGTTTTAATTAAATTCAATCTGATTACAGTTAATCATCATCAAAAAGGAGGCATGTCGCCTCCCATACATACTAAAAACTTCTTAATACATATCTCTGGAAGGATAGAAAATCTCTCGAAGTATTTTAAATTTGTTATGGAGATTTATTTTATAAGTGCCGTACTGACGGAATAAATTTCATTAAATGGAAAAGGGAGAGCCGGGTTCGGCCTTATAATCTAAAGCTCTCTTGAGGCATTTGCTACAGTAATGAGAAGTGGTATTTTGTCAAGGCCAGGTTACTAAATTTGAGCAGGAAATATTAGAACTCGCCGTGGAACCTCCAAGAAGGTTGCACGTTCACGCGTCGTATACCTGGAAACATTTTAAGGTAAACTTAGAGGAATTGATATCTTTCGTATGCCTAGCGCGCAGAAGAGATTTTATAATTTCATAGTTTTAAACGGCCTAAATAGCTTAACTCGCTTAAAAAATAATGAGCTATAACGAAATGGGCACAGAAATAAAATCTAACATCATTAAATTATTTTTCATATTTGTATAAAAGCGCGGGGTGAAACCCGCGGGTATAAGCTAGTACTTATATAAAGTTACTAGCAGACCCGGCGAACTTCGTCCCGCCCAAAATTTCTATATATTTTATTGAAACTTTTTGGTCCAACATTTTCACCAACAATTCACGTTTA